CTACTGTCCACACTCATTAAAACCAGCGGTACTATGACCCATGCTCTGTTTCTCATTTCCATAGCCTCCCATTAAGCCTAGGCAATCCCATGTTCAACCAAAAATTTCTCAGCCTTGCTATACCTGCACTGACCTATTCATTTTCCATCCTCTCCCACCCCACAAAACCACCAAAGCTTGCTTGATAAAATAATACAAATGTCAACTTGCTCTAGGTCAATTCATGTCCTATATCTTCAGTTAGCTTTTAGTGTTGCCAAGAAACATTATTATGTTCCTCACAGTAGCTGCTGTAAAATATTTCCATTTTCTTCAAGATGTATCCTTAAATACTCAAGAAGAAACCAAGACAAATCTAGGAGCAAATGACCATCATATCTCCATGCTCATGACATCCTGGAAGGGAAAGCTGGGACAGTAAACTCTAGACTTTAGGATAGCGGATGTCCTAAAGATCTGAGAAAATATAGGCATGAATTCCACTGCAAGAGTTTCTAAAGGGAAAGATGATTTAAGAGGGTTGGGAAGCTCTTAAAACTGTAAATCTGATTATGTAATTGCAGATCATTCCAGCAAAGAAGCCAATGTGGCTTTTTAATTATCATGGACAAGAGTCTAGTACTAAAAATTAAAAGTACTAAATAGGTTGTGATGTATAACAAAAGGCAGTGATCCCTAAAAGCCAGTACAGGCTCACTAAGAACAAATTACCTATGGGTTTTTTTCATAGTATTACAAAACTAAGACTCATGAAAATGTGGTAGATGTGATGTACAGAAAGGTGAATGAGATTCAACTAAGATCTCTCATGATAATTGTAAGGACAAGATGGAAAATAACTTTCTAACAACTGCAAGTCTCCAATACTGTAATATTCTTTGAGCTGCCCTTAAACAGAGGCCCCAAAGCACCATGGGGTGCCAGAGAAGCAATGTTTACCATGAAGGGGAGGCCAAAGAAAGGGTCTTAAGGACCCTTCCAAAGCTACTAACATCATATATTCTATTAATGTGTGTATTCTATTCAATCTTTTTAAATATCTGTATCTTCTAAATTTGGCATTCCCCACTTGAGTTTATATACTTGCTATATGCTATTATCGTACATTAATTTTTAAGTCATAGAACCTTGGCTCTCATCATTTTCTGTTCCAAACCACTCCTTCTGTTTGCTAGCTTGATTTATGGTACAACATCTTCCTACTTAACCTGGTTCAAGACCTTGGGGTCATCAACTCATTTCCATCTACTTATCTGACCGGCCAGCAAATGTTCACTGAGTATCTTCGTCCTAAAGAAGCTCAAGGCCAAGTTAAATACTTGAATAAGCAATTATAATCCAAACAGATGAGAGCTACAGTAATGGTATTATTAGAAGCTATGGGAGCACCAGAAGGGAGGCCTGTGAGTCAGGGAACATTTTTTGAGGGGATAACTGAGTTGAGTTTAAAAGTTGAGTACTTCAGCCAGCAAACACTGGAGAGAGGAGAAAGCCACTGCTGGGAAAGAAAGTGTAATGTACAAAGGTTTGGAGCTATGACCAAACAGTCAGCATGGGAAACTGTAAGCACTGAGGCATAAGTGAAGGGTACAGTAGGAGGTAAGGCTGTTCCCAGTGAATTGTGATGAAATGCCATCAGCATCTACCCATTCACCCTAGTCAGAGCCCTGAAAGTTCATCCAAGAGTCCATCCTTCTCCTTCATGCCCCATTTCTAATCAGTCATCACATCTGGGAGAATTTATCTTCTTAATCTCCCCTGAATGTTTTCACTCCTTTTGTTTCCTTCATTCAAATTCTTTATTTTAAGTTCTCTTACCTCATCTATCTTACTGCAATAGCCTATTAAGACTTCTTGCTGCCAGGTACGGCCCTTTCTATCCACTCTACACTCAGTCAGAGTGATCTTTTAGCAAAGATGCCTCTGTTCTCCAAGAAATGATCCTGGAGTTCACCCTTCACCCACCTCCTCTAAACTTTCCCCAAATTATTTTATTCCTATGGAAGAACTTATAACATTCTATTTTATACTACAGTTAGAGCTCAAAGAGACAGCCCATTCAAGTCATCTACTTTATTCATGCTCTTTCCCAGAGAGTTGAGTCCCACAGTCCTGCTAATTAGGTGGTGAGTCATGGGACCCTGAACCCCTACCTCTGGCTAAAACTACTGTGCAAGGAAAATACCTATCTCAAGGTAGATCAGTAATATTTTCTATCCTAGAAATTCTGTATTATGTTTCAACCAAATGAAGATAACAAAAGAAAAGAAAAGAGAAAACAAAGAAAAAGAAAGAAATCCTAAATTATGATCTAGACTTTGGTATGTGACCTGCAGAGGACTGGAGTGCCATTTGGGGACCATGTCTGCTATTGAGCAGGTAGAAGGCTACTACGTAGAGAGAAACAGAGTAACACAGAAAGGGTAAAGAGACCACGTGGTGGCTTGACTGGTCAGGGGGGGCTGAGAAAGAAGGTGTAGTTCCTTTGCTGCCTTGTTAGCACTGAGTTTCTCATGAGGCCTCTATTTCCTGCTTTGGTTTTTAGAAGAACCACCAGTTTCTTATATTAATCTCTACTTTTATTTAAATTAGCTCAAATGGGATTCCATTTTTTAGGATCAAATTATACCTATGACATTTATGTACAAGCCCTTCTGCATTAGATTATAATATCCTTAAATAAAGAAACCATAGCTCATTTACCTTTGCATTTTTCAGATAATATAGTATACATAGTACCTTGCACACAGTTGATCAAAATTTGTCTCATGAAGTGACTTTACAGAAGAGGGAAATGACTTTGGATTTGAATAATTAGTAGCAATTACATATACAGAGGAAGTTCAATACTTTTAAGGGTAGAGGTGTAGGGGCTGAGAAGAAATTCAGAAGGAAGCCACCTTAGCTAAACCCAGTTTTTAGGAATAGTTTATGTGGAAGCTAACTACACACACTCATGCCCACAGCAGGTACCATCTTCCCAGGAGCTCCCCATCAAAACCTGGCAAAGGGAGGAAAACTAGGCAGCACAGCATGTTAGGAACCAGTGACCTCAGCTCCTAAAGATCAGTAACAGCCAGAACAAAATGGCAAGGCAGTAAGGCGACCAGCAACATGCTCAACAGCTGCAGCCCTGACCCCTCATGTGAGAGGCATCATCTGAGAGCTTCATCATGAAAACTTGCTATGTTTTATTTCTTAAAATAAATTTTCTGTTATACAAAGATTTCAAAGAACATGTTTCTATAAAAGACCATTTGTAATGTCTTCATATCAAGAAGGTGGAAAAAAAAGCATAATTTTCCATCTAAATATAATTGTGTTACAATTTATTGTTTTGAAAATTACATGATTGATATATGATTAGCATTTTTAAATATTCTTTCTTTCAATCTAGCAAATGTGCTCGATGCTTCAAAGGCCTGACTCCCTTTTTGGATGCTGTTGTAATTTATCCGCAAGAAAAATGTTCCGATGAGTAATGGCTAAAGCTATTAAAAAATAAAACAAAAACTTATAAAGCCATTCAAGTAATAAAAGAAACTCATACCATGAAGATTTCCTAAACACAACCTTACAACCTGAAAACTAAGGAAGTAGCCTAATCAAGTACGCACAATGGGATATGGCGGAAAGGCAGATAAAAGACAAGGTTGGATTTCCTGGTTCGATGTGAAAGTCTTCCCTTTTCATTGCCAAACAGAATGTGGCAGCACAATCAACAGGGGCCAGGTGCCACAGCCATTACTCGACCTTTCGATTTGATGGTGAGAAACTGGCAAACTCATGAGAAGGACTATTTAGGGCTCAAAGGGCTGATGTCACTTCTGGATACTGAGTTAGGCTTTAAAATGATGATTCTGTAATCATATCACTTGAGAGCAAAAAAGAAAGTACAACTATTCCTAAGTGACTCTGAGATCATATAAATCACACTGACCTTCATATAACTGAAACAGTGGCACAGGGTACTGTTTCTGAAATTGCATTAGTATGACACACAGATTTGACTTGGCTTACTTTGCTAGGCATAAGAAGCTAAGTATAAAATAAACCTGATAAAAGCAGCAGCACATCGTGGCCATTCATTCACTGTTGGTTCTCATAACCACAGACCAAGTGGGTGCATCCTATACAAGTTAGATGGCCAACAAACAAATCACTAAACTAGACTAAAAATAAATATCAAAACAGGTTCTTCTCTAGATTACTTTTTTTAGATTACCTTTATATTCATTTCCTGTGAAGCATAAACCAGATGCCATCTATAATAAAGGCCTAAAGACTCAGCTAAAAGTTAATATGGTTTTTCTTTCAAAATGAACACCAGTTTTAAGAAGAAAATAGGCACCACATTTGATTAAACATCTGGGATCAACAGTTTCATTCAGATCAAAATGAAGGGGCCATCCATGATGCTCTGGGATTATATCATATATACTTAATTTAGATTGATTTCTGACAGCTTCCAGAAAAACATAATACCCTTTTCCTGCTTACAGTAGGGTAATTTAATTTTTCATGCCATAGATAAAATCTTTGAAGATCAATACCAAAAAAAGCACATCATTCAAACATGCTTTCATATTCACATTTTAAAGCAAAGGACTCTGGGGTCCTCTGAATATGCCTGGACTTTGCATATTTGAACTATAGTGTCTAAAAGGAGAGGACAGATTGGGGCAATGAATTCTCTGTAGTACTCAAGTACAGACAGATGCATGATGTAACAAAATAAGTAGAGGCTCAGAATGTGCTTATATTTCATGCCAAAAAACAAAAACAAGGTGATTGCCTGGTAATTCAAGGAACATATAGACAACCAGTTGATGTGGCAGCTACGAGTAATTTCTGAAGAATCAGAACCAAACTATACCACGTACCATGCACCATGCTTTAATAAAGAAATAATAATTAAAATACACAAAAAGTTTACCCAACAGCCACTTAAACTGAGTTCTACCTGTGACCTGTGGCCTTTCCTACCAGAGATCACCTACCCCAGGGCAAAATTGCTGTCCTCCTTCCAGTCCACGATTCGGCAGATGAACAGTGTATTGGCATAATCTTTAGGCCGTGTCACAAAGTCCTGGGGACAGTCCTTGAGAGGCACATAAATTCTAGGCACTCGGTGGTCTGAGGGAGAAAACAGGGCATATTTCCTAAATAGTTCGCTGTTCTTATCAGTCAAGAGTTTGAGGAAGCCAGTTGCTGCTCGAGAATGTTTTTTCTCCAAGATGTAAACCACCTGAAAACACCAAAGATAAAGTCAATATTGTTTATCTCTAGAACTGGGTAACAGTTGGGAGAAGTCAGCAGGACATTATTATATTTGATCAACTAGCTGGATCCAGCAGTTTTTCTAGATCAAAATGAAGTGCTTATCAGTGATGCTCTGTGACTATATAGTCTATGCTTAGGTTGCAGCAAGTATCTAGCGTAATTACACATATCCAAGAAAAACTACGCAATACATGAATGAATCAGATGAAAGTGCTTATGAAGATATGTGGGATTTCAGCAGGGAAGTATAGCTCTATATATTTTTTCCACATTACATTTTTCTCACATGAACAATATCAGTATCTCATATGAACATCACAGTAGTTGCTTTTTAAAAAAATATATCAGCCGGGCATAGTGGCGCATGCCTGTAGTCCCAGCTACTCGGGAGGCTGAGGCAGAAGGATTGCTTGAGCCCAGGAGTTTGAGGTTGCTGTGAGCTAGGCTGACGCCACGGCACTCACTCTAGCCTGGTCAACAAGCGAGACTCTGTCTCAAAAAAAAAAATAAAAAAATATATTAAATATAATTTACTGCTCTTAATTATGCCTTCAACAGCTGAAAGGAGAAATATTTAACCTTCCTTCTTTCCAAGATTAAACCCGATCTCTCATTTTAGTAGGTGAAGATTCAGACCGCCATTCCACTACATGCACACGCTACTTCCACCAATAGAGAAGCATTTTCCAAGAAAGTGAATCTTCTTCACCCCCCCGGGATGGCATTCTTCCTGAGCTGTTCTCTTTTCCCACTGTAGACAGTTTCATCCCTTTGTTGGAATTACTTGCCATCATTCTACTAGATCTCTGAGCCAAAATTCAGACTGCTGTTGAGCTGGCTGACTCTCTCATTCATGTCTCTGACACCAGGTGGGGTTTCGGTCTATCTGCAGAGAACCTCCAAACCAGTGGAGGGTACCACACCTCTCCCCCAGTCACTCTCAGCCACTACTCCACAGGAAAGGGCACTTGTCTTCTCAAGTCCCACTATATGCTCTATTTTTTTTTTTTTTAAGACTAGTCAAGTGCAGTAGTGAGAAGGGGAGAAAGTAGTAGAATAAGGAGTTCAATCTGTAACTGACTGTGAACAATCAAGTGAGAGAACTCACTACCTTCGGACCAGCCTATATGCTCTACTTTCTAACTCCTTACTCTTCCTTCCTCCTTGGAAAACATCTTTCTGTTGTGAACAATCTGCTGTGCCCCTTTTCCAGAATACTCAGCCCCCCTCCTTGCATGCACCTGTTTATCCTAAGGCTGTCTGCCTCAGCAACTTTAGGCAAGGGCTGCTCCTTCTCCCGCACACAGCCTCTGAGGAGGTGTCCATGTTTTCCCATGCTGCACTGCCAAGTCCAGACCTTTGCTCTTCCCTCATGAATGTATCTGCACCCTCTCTGGGTCCAGGCAGTGCCTTTCTTGTTGCTGCCATCCACTCACCTTCTGGTCACTCTGCAATACCTGGCTTATAGTCTGCCTCTTCCATTCACGTGAATGATTCAGCCAACACGTTATCCTCACAGTTCCCACATGTCTTCAACACCAGTAGCCTTCAGCTCCATTCAATTTCAGCAACTCACTCTCATGGGCACATTTCAGCATTATCTGGAACTAGTCCAATCCTGACACCTACTCTCAGACTAATCCATCATGCAGCTCTCTTGCTCTCCCATGCCGCACTCCACAAGCTTCTTCACCACATCAAGACTTCTAGCACCTTGCCTGTTCTCTAAGTTTGTTAGCTACACGTAAACCTTGGGTCCTTTCCTCCCTCCCAGAGAGACCATGTTTCATCACTTAAAGTCCTCTTACCTAGGATGTCCACCCTTCTGGTCCTTCCACTATACCCACCCTAACAGTCCTTAATCCAGCCACTGGTATTCTCTAAACTTAAACACAAGCTATAGAGTTGATCAGCAAAGAAGAAATTATAATTGTACAGATCCCATTATACATTAATGTTATAGAACTTTTGCTAGAACCTCAAAATCTCTGAAGATATCTTTTTACCTGTCCCCCTCAGCACAATCTCTTCTTTTATTCCCACTCATGTATGCTCTTCTTCTGGGGCTCCAGTTATCTGAATGTTGAATCTTTGTTATTATCCCACAACTCCCTGAGGCTTTGTTCACTTTTTTTTTTTTGTCTATCTTCTTTTTGTTCAGATTTGGTGAATTCTATAGATCTGTCCTCAACTTCACTGATTCTACGCTGCGTCAGCTCTACTCTACTATTATTTTTCTGTTCTATATTTCCATTTGGTTTGTTCTTAGAACTTCAATTTCTTTGCTGACATTTTGCATCTTCTCAATGTTTCAAGGGAATTTTTAATTGCTTACTGAAGAACTTTTATGATGGCTATTTTAAAATCACTGTCAGATAACTGCAATAGCTTGACATTGGTATCAGTTGACTATATCATTCAAATTTTGATTTTCCTGGTTCTTGGTATGACAGATGGTTTTCAATTGTATCCTGGATCTTTTGGCTATCATGTTAAAAGACTCTGGGCTTCCTTTAAATCTTCTCATTTTAGAAGGCAGTCACCCTGTTTGGGTTTAGCATGCAGGTCTTGGCTTACTTTTGTGGGCTGTAGTGACAATGACAATTTCACTTACAGAGTCTTTACAGTGCTATTTTGCTAGGTTTGGTTCATAGGTGCCTCTGGGGCTCCCACTGGTCTTCACTGTTACTGCCTGTGGGGGTGGAAGGAATTTCCTCAGGCCAAGCCACCTGGTCTGTCTGAGTATGAAATGGGAATCTCCTGCCTGCAGGGTTTCTTGTTGTGGCAGGATCTCTTTACTGGTGCTACCTGGCTTCCCAGTGTCTTTCAATGGGAGAGGGAAGTGTCCGACACACAGAGATAAAAAGGCTTTCTGGCCCACACCCCCATTATGGCAGGATCTTCCTTGCTAATGCCACCAGGCTATCCTGTATCTCTGGGTGAAGGAGGGGAGACTCATGCCTGTGAGGACAAAGGGGTGTCCCAAACTGGGATGCTTGTTGGACCTCAAGCTGTCCAGTGCTGCCGCTGGGTAGGAGATGAGAGTCTCAGGCCCATGGGGACAAAGAGGTTTCCTGGGCTGGGCTACTTCTGGTGGGATCCTCCTGATTGAAGCCTCAGATACTTGGTATCTCTCAGTGGGAGAGAGAAGTCTCAGACCTAGGGGGGAGGAGAGCCCTTCTCCTGGCCACTTACTGGCATCTGGGTTCCCAGTAGACTCCCCTTACAGATGCTGCCTGGATTGCCTGGTGTTGCTGGATGGATTTCTGTTAAACCTGAGTGAGGAATGAGTCTATCTGGGGTAACCGCCTACTGCTAGGTTAGGATTCAGAAACACTGGGCCAGAGTCACCGTCTGTTGATGAGAGTTGTCCCTGTCACTATGATTTTTTCTAATTCTGGGGTCCCTAACTAGTTTGTCTTCCTTTTTTCACTTTTCAGAATTTTCCTTTGGTCACCTCTTATGTGTTCCAGGGTTTATAGTTATACTTAGCAGGAAGAGCAAAAAGAAACAAGTCTATGCCATTTTGTGTGAACCAGAAATTCTTGCTTCTTGTCTTAATTTTTGACAACACAGGAAGTGTATAAAGCAGGTTGACATTATTGTATTACTTGTGATTCATACAATATTAGTTATCATGAAAATGACTCTACCACAGCATAAGTTTACCATGCAAGTACTGTTTTGCCTTGTAATTTTAGGCTGAATTCATTAAGAAACACTATCCAAAAGTGAAGGGAAAGGGGAGAGGGGAGAGAAGAAATGAGGGAAGTGGGAGGGGAGAGGAGAGAGGAAAGGCACAGTTGGAAGGCAGTAGCAAATTACAGAACACAAGTTCTATCAACAGAGGGTTGCCTTTACTGGTGCTCAGCTTTGACTAAAGCCATTTAGGAATGTGGTTCAGTCAGTGTTGCTGGATATTTTGTTTTGACAAGAGAAGCCAGAAGTCTAACTTTTAAAGTGAACATTCCCCCCTCCTTTTCTAAAATGTAAGCTATGAAGTCAAAATTTTTAAATACTCAAACAAAACAGGTCTGTGAGCCAGACCCTGCCCCCAGACTTCCCATTCATTATGATTTTCCACACCTAGCATGCTGCCTAGTGCGTGGTCAGTACTCAAAATGCTTATTGAAATAAAGATCTGGACAACTGGGTGGCCAATGGGAGTAATATATAGAGTATAATTTTAAAATTCCTCATGTTGATATACAGGACGGATATACTCTTAACCAACTTGCTAGGTGGAGTGAGCACAGTGCATTCCCAAGTTAAACACACTGATAGCTGCCCCTGGTACACGAAAAGCCTCATGATGTTATGCCACTTTATCCTTTGCCCTTGCACCACTTCTGCCACCATGAGTCAGCTGTGTTTGATCCCACATCTGCATATTTGCGCAGCTTGAGTCAACTGTGTTAGATTCCATATCTGAATATGCCACTAGCCTATGTAAATTTAATAAATACAATTAGAATAAAATTAAATTATACAAAAAAATGAGACAGGAATATAAAATAATTGTTGTTTCTATGATAACTAAGTTGAATACTACATAAAAACTAAAAGACTTATTAAAAATGTATTTTTTAATTAGGTTTGGGCATAACAACAATAAAAAAAATTGGAGCAAAAACTATAAAAATCCAGAGGGAGTTTCTATTCACATTGCTTCTCCAGTGTCTAAATTCTCACTCCACTATAAAGAACCAAAACTGAAAGTCACAAATGCCACATTACAAGTGTGGATTAAGCAAGAAAGATGATGTGGAATTCCAATCAACACACCCATACTCAAAGAAAAGGCCTTGATCCTTTAAAGTCAGGCAAACAGATATATATTTATATTTAAAGTTATTTTTAGAAATTCACTTTTCATGATTCCATGGTTCCACTGACTTTTCTGATTAACTGACCAACTGCAGTCCTGACTGAGTCACATGAGAGACCTTGGACAAGTAGCTGAGATGATAGCCATTTGGACAAGTAGAGAAAATCTGTAGGCAATGACCTTTGCTGATCTTTGCAGGGACTTCTCTGGTAAAGCTCTTATGTCTTGTGACATGGAGGTGCTCTCATCTTTTTTAACTGGTGCACCAGCATCCTCTTTTCCTACATAAAAAAGAGAAAAAGAGACAGAAGAAAAAATCAATTAATGCCTATTGACTCATGGGATTTTCAAGTTCAGACCTACCATTTACCCTAAACTACTCACTTTACAGAAGAGGAAACTCAGGCCCACAGTGGTTAATATAGCCAATCATGCCATATACCTATATTAATGCTCACACTGAGCACTTAGCCTGAGCAGGCCACATTTTATCTATTTAATATTATTTACATGCTAAACATTATACAAGTACAGAGCATCAAACTATGTTAAATTAAACTAAATCACTTGTGTGTCAAATGCCCAAAACCTAGATATTAATATTGTCCCAGCCCACAATGAAGAATAGAGATAGGTTAATTTATTATGCACATCTGCTCAAATAAAACAAAATCAAAATAAATGTTAACTTTTAAAAGTACTTTGGTACCTGCCATAACAAACAAAATGGTGGAAAATAGATTATATCTATTAAATAAATAAATAAAAAACCCAACCCCAATTTTCCTGGCTTTTCTTACTGACATTATATAAAAAGAAAAGTACTTAAAATCTTTTAACGTTTAATTTCCTTTCTTAAAAATCTTATAAAATGCACATTCACCCAAGAAACTGAAACTAAATCTCCCCAGGAAAGAGGCAGTTAGGCTCTGTACCAGAAGTATTAAAAACACTCATGAACAAAAGCAGCAAATTATACACTTCTGCACACTTAAAATTTTGTATTTTCACTTGTTACATTAGATTTCCCCCACAAAATATTCTTCTCCAACTATAATATATTGGAGTTTCTAGATTCTAAGGGTCACAACCAATTTATGTGGGAGCCACTCCAGAGAGCTAAGAGAGACTTGCACTTATCATCATTTAGACATTACCAAGGCCAAAATAAATAAATAAATCCTTTTCAGGACTGGCTGCTTCTTAGCAAAAGCTCAGTTTAAAGCCAACTTTTACCATTCTGGGCGTATTCTGGAAACACTGACATGATCTGACCTACTGGGGATTAAGAATGATCAACTGTTTGCTTTTCCATCTATGCAGAAACCTACCTACTAAAGTACTCACTGAAAGCAGAATCCTCATTATTTTCCAAAAAGGAAAAGCAAACAGAAATTTTCCCATTGTAGATTGCCCTATCCATCAGCAAAAGAGGGACATCAGTCAAGCTCATCTTTTTTTTAAGTTTTTAATTTTTAATTATCATGGGTACATAATAGTTGTATATCTTTATAGGGTACATGTGATGTTTTGATACAGGCAATATAGTATAAATTAATCAAATCAGGTAACTGAGGTATCAATCACCTCAGGCCTTTAACATTTTTTTGTATTAGGAACATTCTAATTCCATTCTTTTAGTTAAAGTATACCCTAACTTATTGTGGGTAACTGTCATTTTGTTATGCTATCAAATATTGTTCATTCTATCTAACTACATTTTTGCATCCATTAACCATCCGCACTTTATCCCCTCCTTCCTGCTACTCTTCCCAGTCTCTGGTAACCATCATTGTACTCTGTCTCCACAAGTTCATCTTTTGTTTTAGATCCATAGTTCAGGATTCCAAATCATCAGATGCTTCCAGAACAACATTTTTTATAATCTTAGAGAGAAAAGAAACCACACAAGTTGTTGATCTGTTTGTTCCATAATATACCGTGCCAATGTGTTCTGCAGAACAAGGTAATTCAGGAAAAAAATATTAATAGAAGGCTGGAATTACCATGAACAAGTACACTCAGATATCCAACAGCTGAATTGTTGGTCTCAAAAGCTAGCAATCCAGGCGGGGTAGTGAGAGGACTGGTTTTTCCAAGGCAGCCCAAATCCTGGACAGTAGCTTTTCGTGACAGTCACTGATGGCTCTATCTTAAAACAACTTCAGATTCCCTGCCAATAACAGCAAGTCTTGTGTTACAAAGGTTATACCAGGATACATCCAAAGAGAGAGGAGAGGGCAAGCCATGGAAGTAGACCCAATCATGACTTTCAGATATCACACTTGAACATGACCTTTTCAGGTTCTGTATTCATAAGGACATCTTGGCAGAAATGAGGCTTTGTTCAGACAAAGTTACATTCTAATAAAACTGAAGTTTATAGCCTTGCAGGTGAGAATCACAGACATGGTCAATGGCTATAAAGAAACACAATGCCAGGACAGAAAGTGAATTACCTTAATATGTTTCCAACAACTATGTCTTGCCACACTAAATAGCAAAACTGTCAATTTAATGAGAGAATCGACTACATTATTTAATCACAAGAGCATTCATATAGTCATCTATTCCATGTGTATTTATTGAACATGGGGCACCGAGAGGATTCAGTGGTGAGTAAATGAAATACAATCCCAGCCCTCGTGGAACATATAGGCTAATGTGGAATAATATTATATAAATAAGTCACTCAATCAATATAAAATTATAACTTGTGATATATGTTAAGAAGGAAAGAACAATCCCCAAAAGAAAAGGAAAAGAGCATATGATTTAGATTAGAGGTCAGGGAAAAGCCCTGCGAGGAAGGGACATTTAAGCTAAGATGTGAGGATGGTGTGTACAGGAGTGAAGAGGAGGACAAGAGACCCTGGGTAGGGAATGATACATGGGAAGGAGTGGAGGCAGGAAGTTCTTCTCACAGCCAAATCCAGAACAAAGGCCACAGGCTGGAGCACAGTCAGCAAAACGGCACAACAAGAAATGAGAATCAGAGGTAGATGGGAGTGAAGTCAGGTCGGCCACGTAGATTGTAAGAATCCAGAATTAAAGCCTAAATACAATGGCAAGCTGGCTAAGGATTCTATGCCAGAGTAACATTGCCCGGGGCAAGATTACAGTAGGCTAACAGTAGTCATACGGAGACCAGTTAAGAGCTATTGCAGTGGTCCAGGCATGAGAGGATGGAGCTGTGATATAGGCATCGGAGACAGAATTAAGATATAATTTGGAGTTGAACTGACAGAAATGGTCATAATTAGATATGAGAGCTTAAGGATTATTAGATATGAGAAGTGAGGGATTATTTCCAGCTTTCTAACATCTGCAGCTAGGTTGACAGAGACATCACTTATTGGCAAGACGAGAAGAGAAGGTGAAAATCAAGAGTTCTATTTTGGAGGAGGTCACATTTGGGAGGCCATCTGTGAGACCTTCAAGTGATGATACTGAGTAAGCAGTTCAAAATGAAGGTCTGAAACTCAGGAGAGAAAACTGGGCTGTGGCTTTAAATATAATTTACATGCCAAGGACTTCCATACCTACACTTTCCAGCCCAGGCTGGACAGAGGAGACTCAAACCCAAGTCTGTCCAACTACTAAATCCATGAAGCTCCTCCACTGCTGCACACTGCTGTGTACACACATGTAAGTAGTAGTGTGGTGTCGCCGCTAAGGAAGAAAAATTCACTCAGGAAATGACTTGAGGCTTGAAGGATGTATAGATGTTTAGAAGAGAAATAAGGAAGTTGAAGGGCATTCCAGGCAAAAGCAAGAAAACTTCTGAAAAGCCCAGAGCTGTGAGAGGGCTGGCGTAGTAAAGGCCCAACAACAGATTTACTGTAGCTACTAAGAGGCAAGGGACACAGCACTTGGGTAGGGAGGGACTGCAATAAGAGGAGAAACAAAGCTGGTGGAGAGATGGGATGGGCCCTGTGGCAGGGACTATAGTTACTGCCCAATTATCTAGTCTCTTATTTCCTAGTAATAAGAATCCCAATTTTTACCTGGGCATACTGGTTAAAAGATCACATCCCTCAGCCTCCTTGCAACTATGTAGGGTCTATATGTCTACATTTTTGCCAAAAAGATGCAGGGGAAAGCGCTGTTAATGACTTCTAGGAAGTGTCTTTATAGGGTGAAGCCCAGCCTTCTCTCTTTCCCCCACCCAGTCTCTCTTTCCTCCACCCTGCTGCCTGGAATGTGGATGTGATAGCTGGACCTCTGATCTTGGTTCTGTAGGCCACAGGACAAGGTGTTTTCTACTCTGCAGAACAGCACAGCAGAATGAGTTGAAGACTGTGAAGCTGACCTACAAGCCCTGGCCTGCCTGCTTCTTTGACGTGAGATAGAAATAAAATTTTTTTTTGTGTAAGCCATTGATATTTTAGGATTTAATGCTATTCTCAGCAGAACATACTTTCTAACATAGAGGTCCAGACAATGAAACTGACAGGTCTGTACACTATCCTATATAGCATCATAAAAGCCAGGGAAATTTTTCTCTCCAGACTTATGTATCACATATATATTTGAGGGCTATGAATTTGGTAGCCCTCTGGAATAGAGAAAGATAATGGTAACAGATCTTAGAAAGCTGGGGTTAAAGTCTAAATGAGATACAATCAGAACCTGAATTAAGATAATGGCAGTAATTAAAAGATTTACAAACTCTGACATATCCAAGCTTGTTCTATCTCTGAATGAAGGGCCACAGAAATTTTCAATTTCAAAAGAGAACTCAATGAAAACTGTAATATATATTTGTAAACGAAAATATGTCCTTCTCAGAGCTCTGAAAATCAATCAACTAGAAAAACTTATCTTATGAGTCCCTCTCCCCAGTGAAATGTAGAAATGACAGCACAAGTCCTCACATGGGCAAGGTAACATACACTGTGAATAAGCATTTGCCACGCTGCAAGCTTGCCAAGCATAATGAGTGCTGATGATCGCTCTAGGATCCCACACCCATCTCCTGCCAGGGCAAAGGCCTGGGGGTAACAGTCTTCAGGGGGCACCAGTGAGCTCCCTTCTTCACAAATTCCCCAGGCCCAACCAAGCAAGGTTCTCACTCTGAAATGAAACTGCATGATGCCAGAGAGTTTTCACAGCATGTTTGCCCACATGGCCTCTTTTGATTTACAACTTCATACTATGGGTAAAGTGGGTATTGCTATTCCAGCTTCACTGAAGAAACAGGTAATGAAGAGGCAGAGCCAGTCAATGACAGCATGTGGGGATACTGGTGCTGACTGTGGTAACCTGTTCTCCACACCTG